GTCCCAAAAATGTCTCGCAATCCGAAAGTGGCGGGTTCTTTAGGTCATTTGAAGCAACTTCTTCCTTTACAAAAATTGTCTCCGAAGCACCGTTAACGAGTTATTAACGCCAATGAAAGGCGAGCTCAGCTGGCGCTAGGCGGCCAAGCCAACAGCGCCAGCGGTCGATTGGCTCGGTCGCCTCGCGCCAGCTGAGCTCGCCTCACATTGGTCACTGTTTTTCGTTAATAACTCGTTAACGGTGCCTCGGAGAACATTTTTGTAAAGGAAGAAGTTGCTTCAAATGATCCGAGGAACCCACCATTTCCGGATTGCGAGACATTTTTGAGACACCCTGTATTTTTAGCATAAAGCTGTACAGCTTTACGTGGAATAAGTTACATACGTCAGCAAGTGTTACAAATTTGATGTGCAAGTCGTGCGGAGTTGCATTACATCTTGGAGATTGTTTTGCTTCGTATCATTTAAAAGAGAAATACTAAGTAAGTACCAAAGAAAATGTAATTAAAGAAATATATAAAACAAAAAAATTTTACATTTATTTACATATGTACATTTTCGAATTTTCATAAAAATAGAGGAGGCGGATTGAAATCTCGTGAGAACTACCGATGAGATTAAAAAAACTTGAAATTTATCATCTCCCAATAACCTCAAAAACAGCCGGCGACAAACGAAGTAACAGAGTTAGTGGTGCCAGCGCCAAGCGAAGAAATGTTTAAAAACAATGCGGCCGGCAAAGTGTTAACGATATACAGATGGTTATATTTACAGTATCAGACTCAGTACTACACAGTACATATCAGACTCTGCCGTCCAGGAAAATAGCCTCGCGCAGAATTCAGCCGTACCTAAAAGGTTAATTCTTGGTCTTTGTTGTCTAGATCCACTCGAATCTTTACGTATCAATTTTTATTTACATTGTTTTCGACACACTTCTTCGAGATCGGTGTTAATCATTTAATAAGACGTAATAAAAATTAAGAAGAGCGTATGTTTGTATTATACAAGCATTTGATAAATGTGTTCAACTATTGCTGAGATTTTTAATCGTAACTCTTGATTACCTAAATCCACTCGAATCTTTAGATATCTTCTTGCAAGACTCAACGAAGGTAGCAAATACTTGATCTTAAATGCTTTTTGTTTGGTTTATAATAATTTATTCATCGGTGTAGCTGCATTCTTAATGCAATAACTTCTTCAATTTTTATTTATAGAACATAGGAATAACCGAATTTACTTTTATGCATTAATTGTGTATAATAAAATTATTCAAGTCCCCGTTTAAACACTGGAGAAATTTACACAATAATAAACACAAGAAATATGACTTTCCTGGGAACTCCACATTTTTTAGACTTTGTTTTGATTCTTCTTTAACCAATAATTATTCTCGGATCTTCACGCATAGGTTTAAAGGATGAATTCGCGCGATTTCAATTTCTTTATGCAACGTCCCTTTTGAGTTGGACTTCGAAACACCGAGTCTGTGCTGCTAAAATCGATGCGGACTTTCAGGGAAATTTTCTTCATTTTCTATGCACCGCTTAACTACCTTTCATGTCAGCTGATGTAAACTGTGAGACACATTAAATATGCGTTTTGAATAAAGTAGCAAGCCCGCGCTTTGACATGTCTACGGACTCTTAAAAATTCAGATATGTTTGCAACACATAACTCGCAATTTTAAATGTGCAAACCGAAAGTGTATGTACCGAGTGAGCTTATAAGCCGGAGTACCATTTCAAAGCTTAATAACCCTCATTTTTATTCATTATTTATGTTTTTTTAAACAACTTTTTGAATATGCATTTTTTTACAGAAATTTCACTTCACAGAAAAGTTATTATTTTCTCCTCTTCTCCTGTATGATCATCATGATTGTTCACGCATTTGGGATAAACTGACAAAAATATTGTTCAAGCGAGAAAATTGTTCAATAATTCTATGACAAACAATTGCAACAGTGCAATCGATAGAAACCGTTTGTTTAATAAAGTATTAAGATTATTCGAACTTTTCTTTAGACAAGCGATAAATTCTAAATAAAGAATTTAAGAAATTACAGAAATTGGAATTAAAGAAAAGTTTGTATCTATTTATTGCAGAACGATAATGAAAATGCAATTAGACCTTGTTAATTTATACGTTTCGTCGCGTATCAAAAATCTGCACATGCCATGAACGCATGAAACTCCGCAGTTCGTTAATTAGTATAAAAGTTATTAATTTTGTTCAGAATCGACTGATGGTTAAATTGAGAGGGAACCACGCAGAGTCAGGAAGCAGATTGCCATCTTTACAATTCGACTTCTAAATCGCTTTCCGCTCGAAGAGCGCGCAAATTCGCGCAATTAATTTTCTTTGTGCCCCGGTCGGCCGAAAGTTGAATAATTCATCGAAATGCGCAGCGTCACCGCGAGCAAGCAGAAGGAGAACCTGATGAAGGAGAAGGAGAAGCTGATGAGCGAGATGGACACTCTGAGGCAACGATTGAAGAACACGTCTTCGTACACGGTCGAGCTGGAGAAGAGGAACGCAGAGTTCGAACAGCAGATCAACGATTTGCGAGAGACCATCGAAACGCAGCTCAACGAGATCTCGAAGGAGCGAAGGGCGAAGCTAAGGGCAGATGACGAGATGAACAATCTGCAGGAGGAGCTTGCCGTGAGGACGAGCGATCTGGAGGTAAGGGTTTCGTGAATAAGTTTCAGCTACAGCTTGCGGACGCCGCACAGTGATTTGGGACGATAATCGTAATTTCCCAACTAATTAATTTTCAACCTAAGTATGTTAACCCTTTGCACTCGAAGCCATTTTATCTGTAAATCTGAAATAATTTTTCCGACCTACGCTGCCTCTATTTTATATGACAGAGCGCATTTTACGCGTGTAAAATTGAGTTTTGCGACTTATATAACAGTTATACTTTTAACAATTTTTCAAATCTAAATTTTCTCGACGTAAGAATTATTTTGGAATGCGATATAAACATTTTTTAGTGGTGCCTCGGGGTCACCGCTCGAGCGCAAAGGGTTAATAATTTTTTTAAATGGAATACAAGGATGAATCGATTTGTACATGAACGATATATAGTTATGTTAAACAAACTGCAACGACTTTGTTTTTCGTTGAATAAAGAAATCTTTCATCAACATTTAGCCTCGTAATTTTTTAGAAACTGTGCATCGACTAATTTTTATTCGAAACATTTTTATTAAAAATTACCGAGTATCGGGTAACATTCCAACATATCTAACAGAGATACTACGATAAATTTTGACTGTCTAGTTTCGATTTCATCGATCGAATGATTTTTATGTTGTGGTAATTTCGTGCGAATTAACATTTAACGTGTTACGAAATTCTTAAAGGGGTCGGTTTCGAGTTTCAACGAAGTTCCACGACCACGTTTTCCCACGTTTTCAAGAATCTCTTTTTAGATTTTCTGTGTTCTATCTGGTATCTAAATTTTCAATTTAACGTTTAATCGTTACGGTTCGTAGCAATCGTCGAACGTTCGTTTGGGCGCAGTGAAAACTCGTGTACAGTTCGATTTTCGCGAAAGTTTAGAATTTCTCGGAGGTATTGTGCTCGCGGTACGCATTGTTCTCTATTTTCTGCAAGATTCAATGCCGCCGTACCCAAATTGCTCGAATTCGAATCTGCGAGTTGCGTTTGCACAATGCATCGCTCCGCTTGTTTGTTTTGTAAATAGCGAAATTCGGGGAGCATCCTACAACTACAATGAGACCGCTGATGTAATAAAACCGAGCATTATTTTACACAAAATTAGGATCATAGAAATGCTCGCCAATTAAAAGATTGACTATCGTAAAAAGAATGTCAAAATGCTGTTAGATCTTGTTATTTTACAAAATGTCAAAAATAAATTTTCGAAAATATCTCTGTAGAAAATTCTTTAGAAAATAATAGCCGGAAGCTCCTACGAGATTTTACCAAAATTACAACTTAAGATGTAAAATACTCGATCGCTTTGATTCCATTGTTTTATAACACCGTCGAGATTTATTTAGATGCATTTATTTGAACTTCGCACGATTCGTGTTACTTGAATAAAAAAGTTCGTCTGAACATTTCTCATAGAATATGATCTACGAAAAGATTAACTTTGAGTACAAGATCTGCAATATCAGGAACTGTAAAAAAAGAAATCAGAAAATATTTATGTGTTTTAACTGATTTGATAATTCTAGTATCGATCGGACAGCCAGGAATGTCATGGAAATTAAAAGAATGATCCAACCTGTACCATTTATTATTTTACGAAACGCATTAAGAGGTGACTTATAATGTTGTTTCAAATATCCACTGGGATCCTCCGTTCCCGCAGGAACGGGAACTTCGAGGAGCCACTATTGCTCCGGAGCTCTTCGGGGAACGAAGAAATCGTCCGATGACATCCAAGTGTACGGAAAAGTTCAACAAGTTTCTCGAATGGTAACAGAAATGAAACGACGCCGCTCGACCGCGATAGCGGGATTCCGCGGTGCAACTCGAACTAACTGAATTCCGTTTCGCGCCGACCAAAGAAACGATTCCGAGAATGAAGCTTATCTTTGCGGAATGAACCTGTGGCAGTTGCGAGCCGGGACTTCGATCGGTTCAACGGAAAGTTTTGTCGAGAAACTTATTGAACACTTTTCCTAGAGATAGGCGGTACCGGAATGGTGGTCCTTTCACTGTACGAAAATTTGTGGCTCTCTCCCTATTTCGCTAATTTCTTAACCCTTAAATGCATGATTTTTTTGTTTTGAATTTTAAAAAATCGTTTTTTATAGGAATGTAGTCATAGGTTACGTAAAAAATAAATAAAAAAATCTAGGTAATAATATTGAGTATTTATTTTGAAAAAAAAGTTGTATGTAGACTTTTGGCAACAATATGCGTTTATTACTAAAATTATTGTAGACGTAAACAAATGGTCATGTATTTATATTATCTATTAGTATAGGAATTTTTACATTATTTATAAATGAAATGCAGCAAAGCAATTGCGATTTTTGTTGTGACACAAAACTTTCCTTTATAGGAAACTCGAAAAAAGAAAATATCTCTCCAAGTAACACATCGAAGGTTATCACCCACCACATTCAAATGTCAAAAAACATATAACTTACTCGCCAAAAGTAATGTCAAGTCTTTTATTTCACACATGGTCTATTGTCTATTGTTATCAACGTGTGTTCGGAAACGCACATACTCAGGTTTTTGAATAAAATTAAGTGGAACTGGAATGTAGACAATTGGCAACAATATGCATTTAAGGGTTAATCTTGAAACAAAATACAACCGTTCCCCAATTTAGGCGAAGTATCCGTTCCAGGTGGATTTCTCTTACGCGAATGAAAATCTTGTAAATAGACTGTGCAAGTACGAAAGAAAAAATATTGGAAATAAAAGCAAGTGTACGCTTTAGAAATACATATTAGGTCTACCGGAAAGTTCTGTCCGTTTTTGAATTCAAATATAACACAATTTTCATACATTTAATAATATTTATTGTAGAATATACTTTCCATCGTTACTTATGACTTCTTGCCAGCGTGATGGCAACTTGTAAATGCCATTTTTAAAAAATGATTTATTTTTAGAGGCGAAGAACTCAACTAGTGCTTGGTTGACATCAGCTTCAGTTTTGAATTTTTTTCCTGTAAAAAGTTTTGCAAAGAGAGAAACAAGTGATAATCGGAGGGTGCTAGGTCTGGGGAGTATGGTGGATGCGACAGAATTTCCCAGCCTGGCTCTGCGATTTTCTGACGAGTCGCCAAAGCAGCATGTGGTCTGGCATTATCATCGGTATCCATGTTTTCACGATCGCGTCTCACTTAATAATGACATGAGACATCTTTGTTTCAGTTTATTTAGGAGAGTACATTTATGTAAATGCAATGATAAAGAGAGATAGTCATATATGTCTCAAATCAACATGTGCATAGGGATTGAAACTTGAAGTGACACTATCGAACAGAACTTTCCGGTAGACCTAATATTTATTTCACACAGTTTAACACTAAACCTACCAAGCAGTAATACTAAGTGGCATGTACTGCTTCACAAAAGTGAGAAGACCGAATTTATTTAGAATTTGTAAAGTTTTTATTATAAAACTTGCTCCAATAATATAACTTATTCAAACGTTTTCCACGAAAGAGTCTCGGAACTTTGCAGAATTGCAAAATAAGAAAGCGGTCACTTTGACCGCGGTAGGTTTCGTGTTAAGAAAGAAAGATATAAATATGTGTGTGTGTGACATCTTATATATATTATATATATATAGAAAAGAAAAGCAAATTTTATTTGATATAATTTGGTGTAAATTTAAAACGATCAATCTTTTCTTTTCAATTGGCACAAAACTCACCGTCTTCATCGTTTGACTTCATTTTTATCGTTAATGTATATTTTTTTCTCAATATTCTCATTCTCCAAGTTCTCGACGAATTTCTTGATATTCGCGGCAACATTTTATTAAATTTTGTCGAAATTCGAAGGCTCGCCGAATGTCTCGATCTTGAATGTCTGTAATGTCATTTTCCAATTTTTCGAACAATTTAAGAGACTTACAAAGATCGCGTATAAAAAATGCCACGCGAAAAGGAGACCCGCGTAAGAAAATGTGCTGCGCAAATTAAGGGGCGTAGTTTTATTGTATTGTCTTTTGAGAGTAAGTTCCATTGATAACTGAATCGCGGATCTTTATGGAAAATAAAAGATATATGGAGTAATTTTACGAAACAGAAGTTGAAGAGCACTGTATTGTTCGTCTCAATAATTTCGATGATTTAAAGATAACATGGTTATGTTCTTTTATTTCTCCGATGTTTATAGAATTTCACCCGATCATTTTTCACGCAAATACATAAAGATCCGCAGTCTGCTCGTGACAATTTCAGCACTTTCGCAATGCTTTAATCAGCACTGTAACAGCTGCGCCCGTTTCTATAGACAGCACACGCATCTATGGAAGCTGCGGACGCTAACATCGCGACCCTTGAAAGTTTGGTGAAGGAGCAGAAAATAGCTGCGGACAAAACGCAGAAAGAGATGAACAAGCTGATGGTGAGGAGAATGAACCTGCAAACGGACTACGACAACGTGACTGGACAAATCGAGAACTTGGAGAAGGAAGTCACGCAGAAAGACAAGCACCTCAAGGAAGTTAAACAAATGGTAAACAGGTAATGATTGAGGCTCGATGAATTTAACCGGTAAACTATTATCCGAAACTTGGGATAGTTAATAATGGCATTATTATGCTATATTATAATGCTATTATTAATAGTTAATAAATTTTATATTCGTAATTATCGATAAAATTTCATTCGCGAATAGACACGTTGGTAGATTGCGGAGTTTATGCACTTTTGTCAAAATTTAATGGAACAAACGCGGTGCAGTGAAACCATTTCAATAATTTCAATAATTTAAAAGTATTGTTGTGTTATTTCTAATCTATTAAAAGATTAAGGAAACGAAACATATTGCTCCTGCATCTCGGAATTAATTGAGGCAATTTATTTAATTCGCAGAAAAATCGGCAGTCCACTTATTAATTGCGGATTATGATAGATTTATGGCAAAAACGAGTGTGTGAAATATGAAATTCTAGAGGCATAAAATAAATTTAATAATACTTGCATTCATTGAAATTATTAAAAGAAATCATTTTTTGGTTTAATCTCGGTTTCTCGCGATCGTCTTGAGATATTTTTTATAAACATTCGCGGACTGTTCGTTTAAACAAAATCCTGCGTCAGCAAGTAGAAAATAGGAGAATTTTTGGTTAAGAAGCTACGAATATTCTGCGGTAAATTTAAAGTAGAAAGATGAATGTTCTAAAACGAGATTTTTTTATAGTATTCTTCCGTAATTACGAACAGAAGGCAAAAATGGAAAAATTAATTGCAACATCGTTCCGCCGCGAGTGTCTTCCATTAAAAGAGACTTAAGCCCCGACGCTTCGCCATTTTATTGTCCGGTGGACCCGCGGCAAATGGCGCTCGAACGGTCAGGTTTAATTGAGCATTCGTTTTCGGCGGCCGGAACAACAATCCGCGACGATAGTTGCGCGCGAAGACCTATATCAACGTCGTTATAAAATATCAGACGCGACAGGAATATAATGGATCGTATTGCCGCGAAGCAACCCGGGAAACATTATTCCAACTGGCTGTTCGGTGAATTGTATTCGCGGTGTGTTGTCGCGATCGGCAGAAGGGAGCCAGGAGACGAAATTTATTTTCCATTCAATTTTGCATTACAATGCATCGATACTTGTGATCCATGTAATTGCTATGGAAATCGTCGTATATTTCTCGAGGTCGCGGTCGGAAAGTCCGAGAAAATATGTGTTACCGCGCGTCGCGTCGCGCCGCTGAAAAGAGCACCGCGTTTGTCGGAATTTTCTTGCACCGTATTGACGAGTATTTTTTTTATCAATGTTTCGTACGATAAAATACGACGCGGAACGTGGATTCCGTGCGGTGTCTCTTGCGCGAGAAACGATGTTCAGTCACCGCTCGCGTAGTGGTATAATAATGGCATTCGATCTTCGTTGCTTGTGCTGAAGTCTTAGTGTTTAATCTTTATTGATAAAGCAAAGTTGAATCAGTTCTACCACATGTCTATACAAGTAACTTTTTTTCTTAGCGAAAATGCAATCCGCGGCTTTGTTTACGAGTTATTAACGGAAAACGGTGAGCAATGAGAGGCGAGCTCGGCTGGCGCGAGGCGGTCGAGCCAACGAGCGGTCGAGCCAATGAGCGGTCGAGCCAATGAGCGGTCGAGCCAACGGGCGGTCGAGCTAACGGGCGGCCGAGCCAACGAGCGGTCGTGCCAATGAGCGGCCGAGCCAACAAGCGATCGAGCCAACGAGCGGTCGAAGCCAACGAGCGGTCTAAGCCCAGTTCCGCTCATTGGTCAGTGTTTTTCGTTAATAGCTTGTAAACAAAGCGACGGATTCGCTAAGGAAAAAGTTACTTCAAATGACCTCAGGAATCAATAAAATCAGTAATTTATAAAATCCGTAGTTGAATCACAAGCATTTACGTGTTTAAGACACCATTCGCATCATTCGTATCGTAAGAGCGAACAATTCGATTTTACTTCGATCTGTATATTCTATCTCTCTAAAAAAGAGAATACTTTTAATATGCCAAGGATGAGAGAGAGAGATCGCAATAATTACAATCAAATCTTACTCGGTTACATTTCCAAGACCAGTCTTATTTGCATCAAATTTTGTGTTCTGTTTTATCTTGTAGCAACAGTTCTCTAAAATGCTGAAAGCTGTTGCATTTTGTATGAAACACCCGACGTTTGCTGCATGCTTCTAGACACCCGCGACCGAACGTACGTACGTGCCGGGAAAGTTGAAACGATTTTGACTTTGCCAGATTGAGACCCGAAGTGACGAGATGCAGGGCCGACATGGAGTCGGCGATGAAACGGGCGCAAAAGTTCGAGACCGAACGTTCGAGCTTCGAGCAACAATTGAAACAGTCGACAGTGACCACGAAGAATCGCGAGCAAGAATTATTTACTTTGCGGAGGCAGCAGATCGATAAGCAGCAACAGGTTGAAATGCTGTTACGCGAGAAAAACATCCTGGCGCGGACCAAGGAGAACATGAGCGATCAGATTAAACAGCAGAACCACGAGATTACCGTGTGCGAGTACAGCAAACGAAAGATCGAGTATGAGCTTGACGCGGCCGTGCAGGACATTACGAATGTGCAGAAGCAAATGTCTGTGATAGAAAAGGAGAGGGATAAACACAGTTTAGTGGCGCAGGATTTGGCGCGTCAGGCGAGTATACATTCTTAATTATCAATTTTCATGTTTTTAAAAAATAAATTCGTACCATTTTGTCATTTTATCTGTGCCTTTGTATGCATACTATTGCAGTAGGCATGTCTATGCGTGTACATACATATATGCATGTTATTTATTAAATTATAATATATTATATTATATATTATTATATATATAATAATAATATAAAATAATATATATAATATATTATATTATGTTATAAAAATTATTAGATATTAAATTTAATTTAAGATGTATATTATATATAATATACATCTTAAATTAAATTAGATTAAAATATTAAATTTATTTATTTAACCTGAACATTTCCGTCGAAAAGATAGGCCTGGTTTGAACCTTTTATATATATTTATAATATATGTATAATAAATACATATTTACCAAAGCAAATATCTACTATATATTTATGTATACTTTGAACGATGAAAAGACAGTTGGACAGATCATGTAAACATTGTTAAGTGACTTGATTTTATTATAAAGATTCTAATATGCATTATAATATACAGTAAGATATGTTTTAAAGAAACTGTCCTTTTCGCATTAAATAGAATTTAGATTGATTTAGATTCGATTCGAGAAAATGTCGGAAGGATTTGATTTTCAATTAGATAATGCACTATTGTAGACAATTAATGTGCCATATAGAGAATACCTGTAAATCGGTGTTTACCGATATCATGTATCAAACCTATGGAATTATTCGATGGTATCGATGTACAGCGAGCCAGAAAATAAACCTCATACGTGTGCGCATAAGTTGGTGATATGTGGTCGTCGAAGTGCAGTAGAACTGCACGTAAGCGTGCAAGTGGAGCGGGTTCGTATGCGGTCAGGCAAGCGAAGTGGTGTTTGTTCGGGCAAGTAGAACCGTATGGAAACTGGTTGAAACGAGATCTCATATGGTCGCGGGAGAACCTCTATATTTCTATCAATTTATCCGACATGTTCTATAAATTTACCTTCGCACTTTCGGAACGAAAAAACGTCTCGAACAAAAAGAAAAAATGCGATAGCGATCGTTGGTCTTCCGCATAGTTTCATAGAAAATTGCATTTCGTACGATCGTATGCAGTCACTTAAATGAAAGCATTGTTTTGTACGGTTGCATAGTTTCGAGGCGTTTACGATCGTGATTAACAAAATACTGCTTATTGCTAGCACGAAAATTCCATGACATTATCTTACGAATCAGCGGCGTATGACGACATCCAGCGAACTGCATATTCCGCGCTGCATGCTATTTGCATTCAATCTTGGGGGAACCATGACTGAAGCCACCCAAATGGTTTCTGCCGCCTATGATTGAGGAACTCCGACTGATAGCATATTCCCCTGACGTTGCACCACGTGATTGACATTTGTTTATGCTGTTGCAAACACCATTTGATCATACGTTGCAACAGAGTCGACGATGTTCGACTATTTTCCAATTTATTGCTCGCAGATGTTTTATTGCGACGCCAAGTTGCTATAAAGATGGCATAAAGTTGTTTATAATACTAAAAACTGAACTGTGGATTTTTATGCTAAATAGACATTGTCTGCATTAATTTCAAGATGCAGGAGTTGTACACATCTATTTCTTTTCCTAATAATTTTAGTATGTTGGAAGCAATGGAATAGTGTTTTTAAACGTTCTTTAAACGTGTTCATAATTTTATGTTTGATTTACACATTGATTGTTATAAACGCATAAAATCCGCAGTCTATTAACGATATTCTAATTTGATTTTCTATTGTACTCTTCTTTATTATTTTCGCAATCTCTTCCATTTTAATTAATCATCTTTGCTACTTCCTTTTTCTTTTACTTTATTTTTTCCATTTCTTTTTGATATTTTTTTCCATTTTTTTTATGCTGTTTGGGCGACGCATCGTCATATTATTATAACACAACGACTTTTCTGCCCTCGAATCAGTCGTTATTATTATAATTAGTTTTAATTAACTCGTTCTATTGTATCTTCTGATACAAAGAATATTTAGAATCGTTTACTTTAACTAAAACTCAATAATCGATAAACAGCAAGGACAAAATTAATATTTGTACCGTGCAATGAAACAAGCTGTGCAAAGACATGTTAATTGAATTGAACCAATTAGAATTGCTTAAAAGCAGGAAGGCTCTCCACTGAATCCAATCTAAACGCGGGACACTAATTATTGCGATTATGTATCCGCGTTTCATCGTGGGAAATTATGAAAGGAAATTCGTGTCTCTAAAATCTCCCGACATGCAATTTAATGTTGTGCGCGGCAGCTACGAAAGAACGCGAGGGAATAACTTTTGATCTTAAAATCTATGCGGCGAACTGTCCAGATAATCCTAAAGAACAGGCGTGTTAAACGGTAACAGCTGCTAAAAGTTAGCCGAGTCGCATGGACGACGCAGTTTGCGATGCTTTGCACATTCTATTGTCGCGGAATCGGGGAACGTATAGCCAATCGGTGTGTAGTCAGATATGAAGCAAGCTACGCCGACGGATTTACCGTCCGATCTCCAGCACTGCTCCGGTCCAGCACTGCTGGACCAACAGGAAGTAAAGGTAAACACAGGACAGTCGTTCATTTCTGGCTCGCTCTTGGGCATCGCGGCACGATGTCAACGTTCGCGACTGCACTCGTCCAACAGTTTGCAACTGAAACCGCTGCCCTGTCCAACTGTGACCACGTTTTCGAAATCTTGTCCCTTGATTTGCATACTCTTCGCCGGACCTTCGCGGAATTAATTTCAAATGTATTAACGGGGACACGGATTGCTATTACAAGTTGCGCTAACCCACTTGAACTATTAGGTTGGCAACTAAGTAATTGCCGATTTCAGTTATAGATATCTCTCACTCCCATTTTTATGATATCCGTAAATGTTATATTATAAAATTATTATTATTATTATTATGCTATTTTTTTATTATCCGTGAATGTTAGCAACTGGACAAATTGAATGCAGCGGTCAAGGAAAAGCGACCAGAATTGGACAATCGTAAAGGTGTCATTTTCCACCAGGACAATGCTAGGCCGCGCACGTCTTTGTCCACTTGGCAAAAATTGATGGATATTGGTTGGAAATTGATGTTACACCCACCATATAGCCCTGATCTCGCGCTATCGAATTACCACTTATTTCGATCCCTGGACAACTCCCTTCGTGGTAAAACTTTGAATGATGATGACGCTGTAAAATCTCACTTAACTCAGTTTTTGGCCGAAAAGGATCAGAGTTTCTACGAGCGTGGAATTTTCAAGTTGTCAGAGAGATGGCAAAAGGTCATCGAACAAAATGAAAAATACATTACAGATTAAACTTCATTCCAAGTAAAAAAAAAATTTGTATTTCATTGAACAAATCGGCAATTACTTAGTTGCCAACCCAATATTATACAGGGTGTCCCAGGTTTTAATGTTCAAACTTTGTCAGTGTATTCTATGGCACAAAGTAAGAAAAAAAATGTTACGTAAACATAGGTCATATAGAGCTTTATTAAAAAGTTATAACAAAAATTCAGAATAGGAATAGTAATCAACTTGCTGTTACTGCGAGCATTGGCTTGAATAGATCAACACATACCGTGTGTTTATGTAAGCTGTGTTTATTAATACATTTCGAAATGTCTACCGTTGTTGACAATACATGATTGACATCGATCGAAGATTTTTCTTTTTTTTCTTCTTTTTTTTAGTTGATTACTATTCCTATTCTGAATTTTTGTTATAACTTTTTAATAAAGTTCTATATGACCTATATTTACGTAACATTTTTTTCTTACTTTGTGCCACAGAATATACTGACAAAGTTTGAACATTAAAACCTGGAACATTCTGTATAATGACGAGTGACGAAGATTTGAAACATGATCTTGCGAAATATGAAAGCGTTATTCGTTTCTTCTAAATCGATACGAGATTTTCAAAAGTATATCGTTCTGCGCTATCTTTTCGCTCTAAACGATTATTAAAAATCGTCTTTCATTTTCTCGCGAACGAACGAAACAACTTTTCGAACAGCTGTCTACAAAACAGCTCAATAAATATCGTAAAAAGTAAATTTGTTAGAAACATACTTATGGTGAAATTGAAATTACGATGAATTTTTAACTATGATGAAACAAATTTGTTTTCTTTTAACAATTGTAATTAGTTGAGAATAATAGAAAAAAATATTCTGAAATTTTTCTATCTTTACAGTTTTTTCGTATTTGAATCTATTCATTCACAAGTCACTTCTGACTCGTTATTTCTACTCGGTTCTGATTCGTTATCTGCGTTTATTATCGGTACTTTTAACTATCTTTCTTCCGTTGTTTCTAGTTTGTTTCGTCAGCGGAAGTTTATCGAACAGAATAGAGAAGAATTTTTGTCAAAATAGAAGGCACCTGTTTATTTAGAACCGTGCAAATAAATTATAACGAATTCGTAACCACAAAGAATCTCGCACGGCAAGGTGTTGAAAAACTGCCGATGGATAAAGTGTTAATCACGTGTTGCTTCGCAAGTCACAATTCGTAGATTAGGATTCGGTCTAATCAATAGCCTCCGGTAAAATTTCCGGTAACGTCGAAACCGCGTTCGTAGCTAGCGGCAATAACGAGCCGCATAATTATAGTTCTGCACGGCGGGTAATCTCCGCGAGTATGCGAGTCTAACCTCGCCGGGTCAACAGGTCGAGGAGTACCTAAGCGAGGTCAAGCTGAAGCAAGTCGAGATCTCGACGTACAAGAAGAGATTGGCGGAGATCGAGACCAAGTATCGGCAACAACAGAACCTGTTCGAGACCGTCCGCACCGAGAGGAACTCTCTGAACAAAAGCTTGGTTGAAGCGCACGACGAAATACAGGAGCTGAAGAACAAGCTGATCGTGGTCGCGCATCAGACCGAGCAATTGAAAGAGGACATCGTTGCGAAGGAGACCAGTCTGATTAAAGAGGAATTCCGTAAGTGGTTTCATTGTATGAGCCCGCTGAGATATTGGTTTCAATTATCGAATAGCACACCGTTTTGTAAATTAGTTTCGAAGAAGTTTATTCGTCGATGAACGAAAATTGTAGACAATAATTTAGATGCGCAAATATTAAATTCTTCAGAGGAGGTAAGTTTAATCTTTTGCAATCGAGTGGTGAATCCGACGTACCGTTAAAAATTCTTGTTTAGCGATCGAAAGTAATTTTTACGTTAACAATATAAATTTGTTATGTTTAAAAAGCAATATAAACAATATGAATTTTTTTATATTTGTATATTTTATATATATATGTATTGTATTATATACATTGGTTAACTCAATTAATTATTGTCACCGGTATTTCACTTAATACAGAATTCATTTAATCTATTTTTGAGATACTTATATTTGTAAAATCAATTAATTATTCCAACTAGTATTTCATTTAATCAGTATTTTAAATACTTATTGTACATTTGTAAAATCAATTAATTATTTCAACCAGTATTTTCAAATATTTGTATTTCTTAGTCGAAATATTTTTACCTGAATCGTTCGTGCAAAATGGTCGAACAGCATCTCCGAACCGTCCGCGCTGTAGATCGGTACGTTTCTAATCAATTTTCGCTCTAATCAATTTTCTGCCAAACGATTTTCCGTTCCGTAGTTCGCGGCAAGGTGGAGAAGGAAAGAGAGGGTTTGAAGGTCGAGCTGCAGGCGTCCCGTAAGGAGGTGCAAGACCTGAAGTACGAGATCGAGGAGATGAAGCAGGAGGAGAAAAGCCTGAGGCAGGTGATCCAGCGGGCGGAGGCGGATATTGGCCGTCGCATGAAGGACATCGACAACATCATGAACGAGAGGGATATCCTCGGCTCGCAATTGGTCAGGCGGAACGACGAGCTCACCCTCCAGTACAGCAGGATCAAGGTGTTGAACGGCACCCTGCAGAGGGGCGAGGCGCAGTACAATCGAAGATTGGAGGACATCAGACTGCTGAAGCTCGAGGTGAAGAATCTCAGGACCGAGAAGGCGCTGCTGATCAAGAACATTTCGAACATGAGCGATCTACGTCAAGAGGTCTTTCACTTGAACAGAGATCTGACGAGGGAGAGGTTGAAGGTTATGGCGTTGGAGGAGGAGGTGCAGACGCCGTTGAACATCCACAGATGGAGGAAGCTCGAGGTATTTTCTACGTAGGAGTATGCTAATCTTTATCTTCCGTATGCGGATCTTCGTGCATTTATAAGAAAAATAACAATGTGAAACACAAGATAGTGATTTCATCGGAGGAATATATATTCCGGCCATATCGTTGTTAGATGATTAGAATTGTTCAAAGGAACACTGTTGTTCGACTCGTGTTTCTTAAAATTGTTGAAAATAATTGTTAATTTGCATAAATACTAGCAGTTTAGTATAGCAGTTCGTACACAGTTTAGTATACAGTTTGTGTGAATTGATTTAATGAAAATGATTTTCAAGTTTCATTTTCTTGATCGGGTTCATTAACGTGAAAAGAGAAGGATATTATATTATTATAATTGGTTGTTCCTTCGATTTATAATAATTTTCTAGTACTTCAAGGATTTATTACGACAATGTAATTAACAGGCATCGAATCTTTGTGCAGATTAAATGTTGTCTATTTCAATTACAATAAATTGGAGTCGAATAAAAATATGTTTCCTCTATTGATAAATTTAGCAAGATGAAAATAATGTAACAGTATCTTTTAAAATCTTCAACCGTTCTTATGATTCCATGTTTCGTATGCTCATTTTTCTCATAAATGCATAAAATCCGCTATCTAGCAATTAGTATACCGAGATTATTTAATGCACCCGAGAAATAATTTATAACGTTCGACGTTGGTGAAAATTGATTATCTGCTACGAAAATTTTATTAATTCAAAAACAGAACCCGGCATCGATGTATCTGTTCTAATCTTTCGTGCATTTCTAAAAATTGAAGCGAGGGCTTTCCACGTGCTCGAATTGCATTATTTTTTCACGGCACGTTCTCTGTACAAGGGCGTTTGCGAATTCTGCACAGGGATCCGATCCATCTAAGTTCGAGCTATTGAAGAAGATTCAGATCCTCCAGAAGCGTATCATAAGAATGGCTTCAGAGTTGGTCGATAGGGAGAAGCAGATCAAGGACACCGAGAAATTGTACATGAACCTCCGCGAAATTTTATCGAACCACCCGGGACCTCAAGTGACCGTTTCGCTGAACAAAACCCAGAAAGCGTTGCGTGAAAGGGGAAAGAAGATGAAGGTAAATATATATACTGCTCCTTATGCACCGTTCAATAAATAGGTTTCGCTTTTCGTAGTTTCACAATTACTCTTTCGATACGAGAATTCGCTAAAATTGAATAACAGCTACAGCGAATAATTATCGTACACTGATCGTTCTACAGGGTGTCCCAAAAATGTCTCGCAATCCGAAAGTAGGAGATTCATGAGGTCATTTGAAGCAACTTTTTCCTTAGCGAAAATGCAATCCGCGGCTTCGTTTACGAGTTATTAACGAAAAACAGTGACCAATCAGAGGCGAGATCAGCTGCCGCGAGGTGGCCGAGCCAACGGCGCCAGCGGTCGAGCGGTCGAATCCCAGCTCAGCTGGCGCGTGGCGACCAAGCCAAAATGAGCGGAACTGGGCTTCGTGCGCTGGTTGGCTGGGCCGCCTCGCGTCAGCCGTACTCGATTCTTATTGGTCACTGTTTCTCGTTAAAAACTCGTTAACGGTGCCTCGGAGTAAATTTTTGTAAAGGAAGAAGTTGCTTCAAATGATCCGAGGAACCCGCCAATTCCGGATTGCGAGACATTTTTGGGACACCCTGTATATCGTTCCAATTACTGTATTTTACGAGTAAATTCTCCCTAATCGACGCTCAGATTCTGCACAAAAATGGTCAAATCTAGGAAAAAGAGATACGATTATTCGAGCCTTTCGGCTCGTTTTTAAAATTGTTGACAATCGGTAACTATAAAAACGAGCCGTAAGGCTCGAATAATCGTATCTCCTCTTCCCAAATTGTCCATTTTCCTTTACAAGCTGAGGGACAATTAAAGAGAATTTATTGTACACTTGTCACGATGAAACGGCAACATTTTGCGTTACGACGAGTACACGCGTCGAAATGTGCTGACTGGTTAAAGAAGCGAAAAATGCGTCTCTAGATTTAAAAAACGAGACGAACTAAATGAAACAACTGTCAGCGATACGAACTTCGCGCAACTGAAATTCGAATATCTTAAATTTCTGCCCTTACGTCTTCCTGAATCCAAGTCTGTGATAAGTATCGATTACCGTCGATCAAAACGCAAAGCCAACACTTTCAAAATCGAATCGCATAAAGCGCAAAACGCTCGGCTCGCATTCCGGAAGGGTTCAGCTTCTAGCCAGGCGTTAACTAACCGACCGAGGCGTTCTCGTGTCTGTCGTTTCTTAAACATTCACGATGACGTCGACGGTGTGCATGCACATTAACGGTAGAAAATGCCTGGCAGCACGCGAGTTCAATGATTCAGAGGGTGATTTCTCAGTGTCTGCTGGCGGAGGTGAGCATGTACGAGGTCCAAGTCGGCGAGTACCAGGTCGGCCTGGACAGGATGAGCGGCGAGATATCCGAGCTGAAGAGGAAGTACTACACCCAGAAGAGGCTGATTCAGAAATCGAAGGAATCGAAGCTGAAACCGATGGCCGAGTCTCTGCTCCCGGCGGTGAGGCAATCCTCTTCGGCGAAACAGGTCTGCGGCGGCGGCTTCAAAATGGCGGTGCCAGCATCCAGGAACTGCGTCACCGCGGACGCCGGTGTCTGCAGATAAGCCGGCCCGTCGGGTCCTCCTCGAGGGTGAACAAGAAAACGATTCACCCTGTTCTATTTGCGGAGCCAACGATACGGACCGCCTAATGAAAATATAACGGCGCGCTTTCGCTGGACTTCTCTGTGTGCGTCGCTCGTCCAACGCGGTCGCGACACAGCTCTCGCCTGCCAACCAACGACCAACCACTGTTTTCGCGACGCCGTATTTTTTTTTGTTCCGATCCTTGTAATGTCTGTCAATATTTGCGGCCAGAGGATAGTTTGTTCCGCTCGACGGTGCAGACGCGCGTTGATTCGCGGCGCGAACGCGTACCCGTAATTTGTTTGCCCGGTTTCGTCGATTTATTTTTCACCGGGTTCGCTCGACGCGTTGGCTGCACGAGACTCTTAAGGCATCGGAGAAAATTCAAACTGGTGTTTGGCAACACCGGTTCCGCAGAATTTGAATTTGTCGCAGTGATTTCGACGGCAACGGAATCGAATCTCCTTCAACACTGAACACTGTTGAATTTCGCTGAAAAATTATGAATCCCGGAAAATTATTTGGAAAATTATTGGATTCATTACATTGTTGGAACAGTAGCGTGATGAAAACGGTACGATATCGAAGTAAATTTGGTCTTCTCATCTTTGTGAGAAAATGCACATCTGATATTTCTTATTTTTTATTTTTTTATTTTTACTGCTCGGCAGATTCAGCGTTGAGTTCGATATTTTAGGGGAACTTTGCATGTTTGTTAAAATGCTCGTCTACGAATCGTTGTTTAATCTCCCGAATAATATCGTCGTAAGCGAGCCGTTTCACTAATTTGCGAAATCTTAGAAACCACTTTTGGCACACACGTTCTTTCATTACATTCTCCACGCACACCTTACGCCGTATTTTTATATTTTTCCTTTGCGTTTTTTGCGTTTTTTAAAAATAAAATAATGCCATATGCCGAAGATGTTCCCTTTTCGTTTCCCATCTGTCAATTATCCGTCAAACCTGTCAACCGAATTAGATTATCCAAAATCTTTCGATATAATTTCAGTAAAAGTATTCATTGTTGAAGCTACTATCTGCTTCGAAGAAAAAAGAAACTGAAATCAGTCGCATTTTCGAACGCCTAACTTCAAGAATCGCCGAAAACCGCGCGAAGTTTCTGGACAACCTAATATTTTCGAAGGTTATTCGAGAGGCTGTTCATTGCAGTTCGATAAACATTTTTAAAGTCGTTCTTATTTCGATAAAATTTTTATTGCACATATAAGTTAGCGGTTACCTGAAACGTGATACTGGAAATTTCCTCCAGTTTTAAAAGAAGTTATCGCGGTTTAAAGGGTGTACGAACACATTTGTGGACCACTGTATGTCTCGCGTAAGTTTCATTGAAATCAGCTTGCGTAACCCCGTTATGATTTCTTAATTGTAGCGCGAGACACTGAATCTAATAAGATTCGTGAATTTCTACAGAAAATCGTTTCGTATACGAGTTTACTTGAATTCAAGAGATCACACGTGAAACGTACACAGTAAATTCTCTCCAATTGTTCCTTCAGCTTGTAAACAAAAGTGGACAATTTGGGAAGAGGAGATACGATTATTGCCTTTACTATTATTAATGCCTCGTTGCTCATTTTTATGATTTCCGATTATCAACGATTCTAAAAACCAGGTGCAAGGCTGAATCAATCGTATCTCCTCTCCCAAATTGTCTGTGTTTTTGTTTGCAGGCTGAAGGAAAATTAGGGACAATTTTTCGAATTTGAATGCTAAATAATTCGAACGTCGGAGGATCGTACGATAAACGAGGATTTACTGTATTTTCTCAAAATAATTGAAAACTGCTTCACCGAAACGCGAACCGCTTATTTTCGACCAGAGTTTGCGGTTTACTCTACGCCCGGGAAGTAATGGGTAAAGTAATTGCACGACCGCAGATAAACGCCACCGGAGCGTTCATCGACGCGTAAATCGATTGTCGTCCGAACAGACACCAAATTAATTGCACCAGCAGAGCCCACAACGCGGTGACTCAAGAAGTGCAAAACCGCAATGATCATACGGACCATATATACATATATGTAGGAGCCTCTATTGTCTGGCATACTTCAGCATCCACGGCCCCTTTCGGAGCGAAGTTATTTTCATTGGAAAAATATCGTTCGCCTATCGACGCTTTTTCATTAATCATTCCTTCCTCTTCGTCGTCCCGATATCGAAAGTTCAAAGCGTTCTGGCCACGTGTAGACCATCGGGTTTGTATAATATAATGCGCATAATTTGTCGTGCAATTTAACGTTTCTATTGTACGAATTAATCGGTGGCTTCAGCGATATGGGCAATTTATATGTCCATAGCAACGCTGTTGTTTTTCTCGGGTTAGAGTAGCTTGACAAATAAAAATACAAAAGTTTTTTTTTTTTAAGAAGACCGGCATTTATTTGGCGAGAGTTGTTTTGTTGTTGCACGTTACAGTTTACATTGCCGCGCATTTATTTACAGCATACGTTCTATGATCTTTAAATTCAATCTTCTTGAACTCGTACAATTTATTATTTATTTATTACGTCGACAATTTTGCAACTCTTGCGTCGATCCTCAATATTGTCCACGACGTTCAACAACGTTGTACTCCATTGTTTCATCGTCTATGATACCTAGAGTGAAAATTAGTTTATAATTATCCAAGAAATTATTTAGCAATCTTGTCACTTATCGGCAAGAGCATCGAACAAACATTTCAAACAAAGTCCCGCAATCGAAGGAGACAATCTAGCGAAGACAAAGAAGATATGTCTCGAGTGCAGTGCTATTATCATTGTCATTATTATTTATCAAAATACCATGTATAGAAGGTAAAGACGATTTGTCTCGGCTGAAACACGATTATTTTCCAGTGTTAAGAAACAAGAGGTCATTTCCTAGAATCAGCGTTTCTACCGCAATACATATATCCCGGATGATCATACTCGCGATCCTAATTACCGCGATGCGTTCGCCGTGCAAAAAGATTGGATCGCGTGCGGTATACATTTTCGCGGGGGCTCACATATCGTAAACGCGATCAAACAAATTCTCCGCGGTTTATGAAATAGAAATTCTTGGGGAACGCGAGCTGCCTGCCGTGCTGGCGACCGTTTCTGTTCTGTTATGCGGCGAGAACGTGCCAGGAATCCGCAGGGTCTCGGCCATGATTCGCCGTCCGCAGCATTCCGAAACCTGAGTTCTGACCACCGGAACGAGTCCGCGTATTTTTTTTCTGGACACGCTTACTACTACTACTACTTCTCGGATGTTCAAGCACACCCGTTTCTCAATTTACGCGGGCACATTTTTACGCGAGCCCCTTTTTGTTACGCGATCTGAATCTACGCAGCCAGCAAATCTTCGCGAAGCTCTTAAATTAGCCAGGAAATTGGGATGTGTCGTTATACAGGGTGTCGCAAAAATGTCTCGCAATCCGAAAGTGACGGGTTCCTTAGGCCATTCGAAGCAACTTTTTCCTTTACAAAAATTTTCTCCGAGGCATCGTTAACGAATTATTCCTGAAAAACACTGACCAATAAGGGGCGAGCTTGCTCGGCGCTAGGCGACCGAGCCAATGAGCGGAATCGAGCTCTGCGCGCTCGTTGGCTCGGCCGCCGCGCGCTAGCCAATCTCGCCTCCCATTGGTCACTGTTTTTCGTTAATAACTCGTAAACAAAGCCGTGGATTGCATTTTCGCTGAGGAAAAAGTTACTTCAAATAACCTTAAGTACCGTAATTTTGGGACATCCTGTAGACATTGATTGCAAACATTCAACGAGCCTTCAGATTTCGATCAAATTTAACGAAAGATTGTTGCGAATTTCAGCAAATTTATGAATACTTAATAAAAAAAGAAAAATATTTGGAAGAAACCATCCGAATTTAACATTAAGACGATGAGTTTGTGTCACTTTAAAAGAAAAGGTTCATCGTTCAAATTGTTTCAAATTGCAGTAAAAATATACTTTTGATTTCTGAGATGTCATAATTATTTTTTCGTTGAGCTATATGAAATGAATATGTATTTCGAAAACTTATACCAGCTTTTATTTTCAATGTATTTTCTTTTGTATTCACGGACTCTGTTTACGCGATTTACATTCGCGTGAAGCAAATCCTTCGGCTTGTAAACAAAAATAGACAACATGGGAAGACTTTCTGTTTACAAGCTGGGGGAGGGGGGGGGGGGACAATTGGTGAGAATTTACTGTACTTGTGCCTCGAACGATGGCGCAAAAGANGGGGGGGGGGGGGGGGGTGGGGGGGGGGGGGGGGGGGGGGGGGGACAATTGGTGAGAATTTACTGTACTTGTGCCTCGAACGATGGCGCAAAAGAATCGGCGGTGATACATGGGATAATCGACCTTGGCTCTCGTTTTCCTAAATTCTCAATTGATTGGTTTCCAAGCTGTTACGAAGGTCTCAATTTCTCCGGCGAAGTTCCTAGAATCCGCGAAAAACGTTTGCGCGCAGTTTCTTTGCTGATTCTGCGAGAACTTCGGCCAAATTCGGTGATTCTTGGAACCAATGCTAGCTGAAATTTCTTAGCTCATTTGCATATTTGAAAAATATTGCTCGGTTCAATGTTGGTCCCTGTTATTAACCGTTGCTAGCTAGAGTAAAATTTAGAGCAGTTGTTGCAACTTTAAAAATGGCTTTAGTTTGGTATTCCACTCGGATAAGTTTTCAAACTGCTGTGTCTTCTTGAATCTCCAAAACATTGAAAGTTGCATCCAACTATTGTCTGTGGATTTTATGCATTTACGACAAAATTGTGTGGATCGAACGTAAAACTGTAAAGACGTTCGAAGAATTTAAGGATACCGTTACATTATTTTCAGCTTATTACGATTATTGAAAGAAGAAAAAACATTTTCATCTAACTCGTATATTTTACAATTAAGTTGGACACTTTTTAGTTTGCGTAAAGTCATAACGGGTCTGCAGATTTTATGCATTTATGGCAACGATCGAACACAGAATATTGCTAACATTTAAAGAATTTAGTAATACCGTTGCATTATTTTTAACTCGTTCAAAGTATCATACATTTTTTATCTTGCATAAAAATCTGCAGTTTGGTCATCATACTTGCTTTTATACCCGCTTTTATGCAATAAAAAGTAATAATTAGACAGCGAATCTTTATGCAAAATAAAAATATTCCGAGACGATTGTAAGAAACAGACATTAAATAAAATATTGTTTCTTTCAATAATTTTGACAAGTTGGAAATAATGTAACGACGCCATTAAATTTTTCTTATGTTTCAATCCGTAACTACGTTATGTAAAGTTTCTTCTGTTAAGAACAGGCTATCTGTCGGAGAATTCTTAGCTAATTAATATTTGAACTAGCTGATTCGATATTTTAGTCGATAATCGAGGTAAAAAAGAAATTGATGCGTACAAAGGAAACCGTACAATGAAAAGACAAGTCCTCGAAAACTAGGTAGCTGAAAATGAAGGACATTTCTGAAACTGTCAGCAGTCAGGTACGACGCTGACAATATTTTCAACTAATCTAGCAGCTGGCTAGGTTCCATAATCGTCCTTCAGCGTCTTCAAGATATGCAAAGTTACGTCGATTAACATGAGACCGGAGGATGCCAAATTTAGGTGCGGTAGAACAGTCTGTAACCCGTTCTGTTAGACCCGCGGGCGGAATAACGTTCCAGGCGGTGCGGCGAGTTAGTAGAAGGTGCCGATAGGATAAGTTCACGCGGACATCCTTAAGGGCACCCTGGAGGATCAGTCGGATACCGAAGATTCATGCAGGCAGTAATACCCCACCGCGGGAGACATCCCGTTGCCTCGTAATTCTAGTTCAACCGGTGCATGGTCAGACTCCTACCGAAAGCAATTTATCCGAAGTCAAAATAGATACGAGCACGAAGTATGGTTCCTTATCTTGGCCCGGGAATTTATAGAAT